CCACCATGGAAGGTCCACGGGTGGGATAGTTTTGAGAGACCCTGTTAATGGGCTACTTTGGAAAAATGAAACAGAAACACTAGTGCCCCATTCCTTGCCAGATGAGACTCCCTGAATGAAAAACATTTTGGAGGCTATGAAACACTGGCTTCCTTAGATCCTGTATAATATTCAGCTCAATAAAGACCCCCTCTCTAGGGCCTACCCATGGTAGGTTTAGGGGGACATAACAACAATAGCTACAGTTGTTAAACATTCACAGAGCCTTTGGCTGATGTGCTTTACCTGTTCCTTCCATTCCCAGGACAAGCCTATTGCATTATAGGCGGGGACTTGTACCACTGCCCACTTCTTACAGAGGCAGAAACAGAAACACAGGTTAAATGGCTCCCTAAAGGTCTCGCAAGTGGTTGGTGATAGAGATGAGATTCAAGCCCAAGCAGCCGGGCTCCAGAGCTCTTCCCTCGGGTGCTCCACCAAACCACCTGTCAGAAGATGACTTTCTGTCACTGCCACTGTGATGAGGGCCTCTTCCATTGCGTGAAGCATGGGAGAGACACCAAGCAAAGATAACTTCAGAGCCTGGGGACAGGGAGGAGAGAACTGAGCAAAGGATATAGGGAGAAAACTCCAGAGGATGACAGGACCAGACAGTGGTAACCCACACACTCTACCCACCCTCTCTGCCATCTTTCTGCTCCCCTAGCACCCCGCCATCTGTCCTAAAGGCGAGTGCTGCTCCTGCCAGCATCCATTCAGGAATCCCCATGCTTCTAGTTTACCCAAGCCTGCTTACAAATCTTGCTTTATCCAGGTGAGCCAGGCAAGAATACTGGAGTGGGTTGCTGTTTCCTTCTCCAGGGGATCTCCCCAATGCAGGAATCAAACCTGGGTCTCCTTCACTGCAGGCAGATTCTTTACCAACTGAGCTACGAGGAATTATAAGTCTATTCACGGGTGAAGAAGAGGGGGGGTACAAATTAAGAGAGTACCACTGACATATATAGAAGACCATATGTAAAATAGATAACTGCTGTATGGGCAGAGGGATCTCAATCCGGTGCTCTGTAACAGCTTAGCGCGGTGGGGAGGAGGTTCAAGAGGGAGCGGACACATGGGTACTTGTGGCTGATTCACGTGGTTGTATGGCAGAAGTCAATACAATATCGTAAAGCAACTGTCCTCCAATTAAAAATAAATTTTAAAAAATTAGACGAATGTAAAAAACAAATCTATTCAAAAATCTCAGGACATTTCTATGCACAAAATCTTGGTATATTCATTATCGGGAGCCTTCCCCTGCCTGCAATTTCTATTCTAGTTCAGTGCTTCTCAAGGTATGGGCTGATCAGAATCTCCAGAACAGCTTGTTATAAATGAGTATTCTGTCCTAAACAACAGAATGAAAAGCTCTGAAAGTGGGGCAGGAGGACCTGTATTTTTAACGACCCCACCCAGTGACTCTTTTACACACCAAAGTCTGAGGAGAGTTATCACCTCTAACAGTTTTGGGGAAGCGAGCTATAGCAATTGTGTTTCATGGGATTCTGCTTCAAGTATAGGTGAAATCTTCCCATATCTATGTAATGAACTTTCTCTAAAGCAACCCCTTTTGTCATCATAACAAACATGTCTCTCACTGTCTGGAGAATAACAATCTCAGTCTGGTTTTAAACATTCTAGAATCCATCTCAATTTTCTAAACTTTATCCCACCGTTTCCAAAGGGTGGAATCATTAGCCCCCATAGCATTAATGATTTTAAGATGCACCTGAGGTAAACTTTTCATTTTCATTTTAGAGACAAACGTTTAGTTTAATGTCAATAAAGAAAAATTGTAACTACCATATCCAAGCCTGTGATTTCACAAATATTGGGGCTTAAGTGGGAAATCAAAGAGTTACTGTTTTAAAATATTAAGTAAATACATACTAGCATTGGCAGTACTCAGATAAAAGTCTTAAATTTGGGAAACCCCACCTTGTCTGGCCCTTTTCTGACGGCACCCTCAATTTCAGCCATGCGTTTCTGACCACAGGCATTCTCTGCCTTTATTCCAGCACGTCCGTGCCCATGGAATACTGTCTTCTCCCATAAATACCTCTTTAAATGTTATCCATCGTTTCATGCCCAATTCAAGCCTCTTTCCAGGAACCTCAAGATTCTTCCAGCCATCCCAGCATACTCCCTTTTTGAACTCATTTAGAGTCTAAATGAGGTACCACTCATTTAGAGTCTAATTGCTACTTAAGTGTCCATGATTACCTATTCAGTGTTATTTCCCGAGTGAAATGAAGCCTCCTGAGAGTAACCCATGGTCTCTTTCACTCCTGGATTACACAAAGAGCTAAATGTTCCTGGCTGGATCTGAGCGCAAAACAGGAACTCAGTGAATACATGGGAATTCATCATGCAGCTGACTGAAAGGTTCCACAGTGTTGAGAAAGGTGGCTGTTGCATGCCTCTGCATCTCCTTACTTCAGGCCAGATTTCTCAGCCACACCTCTTCATTACTGCCAGGTGAAGAGCACAGAGGCTGGAGCCCAGGAAATTCTACCCAAAGGTGGGATTCTGTGGGTGTCCCCTGGCTGACGGTGATGGGAAAGGTGACCTTAGCCAGCCCAGGTGCAACCTGTCTGCTTCCACAGTCCGGTCACCTCTGCTGCTGCGTCCTCACCCTCAGTTGGAAGAACCAGCGTGGCCACAGCATCCTCATGAAAACAACCCCAGACAACAGAACCAGCTCCACTACTTGATTCATCCATCCTGAGACTCTGGCCTTTCTGTGTCTCAAGTTTTTTAATCCACCAACACCTAATTCACACTTGCTATAAGGCAAAAGAGACACTGATTCTGAAAGCACTTTAAATTATCACGTACAATAAAAACTCGGGGACACAGCACATGGATCTGCAGAAAGACTTAGACTAGGAGACCAGAGGGCCTAGTTCTCCACTGAGCAAGCCGTGAGCAATAGGAGCTGTGGTCCCTCCTTCCAACCCTGCCCCCTCTGCTTGTCTTATGACCTCAGGAACCCACTTAGCTGCCCTGGGACTCAGCATCCTTGGCTGTGAAAACTGCCTATCACTAGATGATCTGGTCTAGGGCCAAGTCCAATGTGAATTTGAGTACCTTAGAGAGTGACAGACAAACAAGACTAGTGTCCACTGCACACTTCACTGGACATGCTCCAAAGTGAGGATCATGTGCCAATGTACTCAGGATTTGGGTGGGCCCCAGCAAAGCATCATCAGAGACACTCAGACACCTTTCCCTCCAACTAGCATCTGTTTTGTGGAGAATAGCAGATGTGCTGTTCACCCTACCTGTTCTCCGCCTCACGGTCCAACTCCATCTGAATACCCGGCAAAAAGCCTCATTTCCTCACTACCATAGTCATGTTTTTTTCTCCCCCTTCCTGTCCTAAAACAACAACTTGAAAACCACAGGTTTTGGTGTTAAGATCTGGCTTTGAAATTAGTTATCCCTTCAGCTCCCCCTCAGACATGCACCACTTTCATGAGTGAAAGGACTGAAGGCCAGTGGACAGGAAATGGGAAACGAGTGGGAACTCCGGTGGTGGGAGGGGGGCAGTGGCCAGGGCCATTGGTGAACTGGAATGGAATGGAATGACACTGTGTTCTTTGGGATTCCATTAAGGTTTGCCTGCTTCCCAAAGTGTAAGCCACAAATCTCCCAGGGTTGTACTTGGTGTGGTTTGTTGGAGCTTCCTTGTAAGCCCTGTAACCATGGTTTCGGGCAGACTACATCACAGCCAGGAGCATCAAGGGAAGACAAAAAGCTTTTTCCTATTTTCCCCTAAAATTCCATCCCCTTAAAAAAAGTGTGTGTGGATGTATATGTATACACATGTATATGTACATATATGTATTTATATGTAAGGTGATATGCCAAGGTGATTCATGTGCACTTTGACCATAGGACATCATGAAGTTATTTGTTTTCAATAATTAAACATCTCTCCATGAGGATCAGGTATTTCTCTGTGTAGACCAAAGAACCCTAAAACCATATACACCCAGAGTCACACCTGCTCTCCCTGGAAACATGTAACAAATATAAAAATAAAGAAAATCATTTCCTAATTTAACACCTTCCCTCTAAAAAAGAGCTAAAACAAGGTTGCTTCTCTCTCCTCTCTGAGTGCCAAGGTTGAATGCATTTGGTTTAGAGTGTGTGCAGAAGGCCTATTACCAAGTCCCTAATATTTTGACAGTGTAATCAATTAACTTGGTCTCAAAAATAGTATCTCATTGCACAGTGTCTTGAAAATCAAAACAGGGAAACAATGTAACTTTAAGTCGATTCAAAGCACTGACTGCCAATTCATCACAAGCAGAACCGTTTGTAAAATACAGAGCTAGTTCCGGATGGATGGACAATGCATTGGGCAAAACCAACTCGGCCCATGTTTCTGGGACCCTGGAGGGGACGAGAGGAGAAGAAATTTTTCTTCCCGCATGTCAGAAGATGAGCTAACTGCCCGACAACAAAATAGAAATGAGCCAGCTTCATCCCGGAGGGAAAAATAAAACAGCTCCTCACTCGGCTACTCAGGACAAAGCCAGGACGTGCGAGAAGCCTTCAGTGTAGGGCTCCACGTGCCTCTCCAAGGACCGAGGAACCCACCCACACACAACCAGCCCACCACGCGCCTGGCGGAAGAAGGCGCCGGCTTCTCCGCCAACCTTCAGCACCGGCAGCTTGGGGTTCCCAGGTTTCGAGCTCCCTGTAGCGCCCGCTGTCTGGACAGGGCAGAGGACCATACCCTCTTTCCAAGACTCATCTTCCATGCCCCAATGCTACTTCTCCCCAACTACTGAGTGTGCTTCCCCAAGCTAATTGACACACACACACACACACACACACACTCCAAATGGCACGAAATCCCTGAGCCCCACGACTAAAGCCAAGGTCGTGAGTTCTGCCCCTGGAACCCCACACAGCCTGGTTCCTGGACCGGGAGGCGCCCAACTCACCCAGTCCTCGAAGTGACGGCTCCCGTTCTGCAGCAGCTCCTCAAACTGGATAGTGCAGTTGGCCACGAAGTCATCGTAGCCGATGGGGGCATCGTGGAAGACAGCCAACTCAATCTTGCGTCCGTTGCACACATCGGTGACGAACTCGTCGTGCCAGGCCGGGCTGTTGGTCTTCTGCTTGGTGGCCGTTTGGCCGATGCGCGAGTCGTCCACGTTGAGGGCGATGTAGGGGTCGAGAAGGAAAGTCTGCGGCCGGGGTCCCACCGCATGGCGCAGCGACCAGGCTGTGGGCTTCAAGCTCACGGCCTCGCAGATTTTGATCTTAAGAAGGCCATTGAACACTACCATGGTCGGGGCGGGGAGTGGGGGCCGGGGTCACTCCGTCCGCCCCGAGGGCAGGAACGAAGAACCGACGCCGCGGCGCTCCGAGCACGGGACTCTTGGGTCCCCTCTCGCCCCACCCCACACTCTCCCTACACCTTGTAGCGTTGCGCCCTGGCGCGGGCGATTCTCAGCCAGCGCATGTATTTCCTCGCCGGGTTCCTAACGGAAAACAGGGAGGGGGGAGAGCTGGGGGACGTCCGTGTTTGGAGAAGTCTCTCCCCCCCCCCCCCCAACCAGCAGCACCTCCAGAAGAGGAGACGAGCTGTCGGCTCCGCTGCAAAAGCCGCGGGGGCTGTCTCGTCGCCTCGCTGGCTCTCCGGGTCGGGGCTGTGGGGAAGTGGGCGCCGCGCCGGGCGCTTACCTACCTTTCCGAAACATAATCCCCGGGAAATTTCGACTCCAGGAGGGGGAGGGGGCGGTGAGACGGGGCGGGGACCAGAACGGGGGCGCAGATTTCCACCCGGATCCTCTTCGCACACCCAGCGCCTGCCTCTGACCGCGCAGGGCGGGGGATGGACCCAGGGATGTGCAGTCTACCCGGAGGGATGCATGTCCAGAGGAAATGGTCCTCCTCGGAGCCAAATTTAAAAAAAAAGAAAAAAAAAATCCACAAGCCACACGGCCAGCCGGGCCGCCTCCTCCTGGGCGAAGCCGCTCCGCGCCGCAGTCGGCGATCAGGAGGCGCCAGGAGTCGGGAATCTCACATCCGCGCGGGCTCGGGAGTCGGGGTGGCCGCGGCTCCGGCTGGGGCGCAGGCCGGCACCGGGCGGTGCGCAGCGCGGCGGGGCCGGGACTGCGACTCGGCGCGGCCCCACCTCCCGGGCGCCGGCGCCCGCCCGCCGCGCTCCCCGCGTCCCGGCTTTCAGCTGCCGCTCGCTCGCTGCCCGCCCGCTCTCCCCCTCGGTCTCTTCTCCCTCCGTCGGTGTGCGAGCGAGTCTCCCTCCCTCTAATGCAGGAAATGCGCAAAAGACGTCAGTGTGTATGTGTGTGTGTGTGTGTATGTGTGTGTGTGTGTGTGTGTGCACGCGCGCGCTCGCGCGCGCGCTCTGGTGTTTGGGGAAATAGAAAGTTTTGCCGGTTGGGGGAGCAATACGGGAAAAGTGAGCCCAGCAGGGGACTGTCGAGGACCCGCGAGCCTTTCGGGGTCGCGGCGGCCGGCCGGGGAGCGGGACTCGGACCCCGCGCGGGACCCGGGGGAGTGGCGGCCTTGGGGGCGGGGGGATGCGAGCCCGCTGGCTGTGGATACCTGGTCTGTGGTCTCCCGCAGGAGACGAGAAGGCCACGCATCTTTCCAGGCTCTGCGGCCAGCACTGTCTTTTTACAGCCGGGAGTGGAGAGGTGGCAGGGGTCGCGCTGCTGCAGAGGACTCGAGACCCTCCCGGCCCCACCCCTACTCTGACCGTGGCTGGCCAGGGCAGCCTGCGGAGTATTGGTCGGTCTGTCTGTCATTCTGTCCGGAGACGCTCCGCTCCGTGGTGGTGGGGGAAGGGGGAAAGGGAGGGGCGTGCAAGGCTCTGTGTGAGTTTTAAAACACTTATTCTTTCTTCCCTTTCTTTGGGGGCATTCTCCCTTTCGGGGGTCTGTCCCAAACTTCTCGGGCTGCGAGAACTTGTTGACAAGCGAAAGCTTAGTAACACCCCGACTCGGTTCGTGTGTTTGTTTATATTTCACAAAGTGACTTCATATTTACTCTAGACCTTGCCTGTGTCCTTTGGGGGGACAGTGTTCTGATCAGCGCGCTGACAGGGGCCGTCCCAGCGGCGCGAAAACGGGGCGCGTCCTCCGGCGGGGACTGGGGGTTGTCGGCTGTGTCCGTGTTAATTTCCTCCGTAACCTTTAAACTCTCGCTGGAAGCCGCGGCGGCAGCTGATCACGTGAGGCGGGCCCTGGGCTGCTGGGGAAGAATTTCCTCCGCGGGGAGCCGGGGACGGGGAAGGCGGCCGGGCGAGGGACGGCCTGGCGCCTGGGGACGCGAACCTGGGAGGGCGGGGCGGAGAGCGCGGAGGTCCGGGGCGCGGCCCTGCCTGGAACTGCAGGAGGACAGCCCTGGGAAGAGGTCGTCTCCGCAACCTGCGAGCCGGGGGGCGGGGGGTGGGGTGTTGTGCAAACGGAAAAAGAAAACCTCGGCCCTCGCCCGCGTGCCAAGTCAAGTCAGGGAGTTTGTAGGAATCGTGGTAAGCTGTGTTTATCTTTCGACTCTGGTTAGCCCAAGTTTAAAACCCACCTCTCGATCACTTTTTCTCAGTGGAAAAAAAAAAAAAATGTAATCATTGTCTGTGGCTTAGAGGCTTAAAACGGTTTAAAGGCGCAGAAGGAGGCAGACCCCTGGAACGGAAGGCTACCAAGTGCCGCAGACAGGTTGCAAAAATGATCAGAAAAGTCCCAGGCAGATCCCCTCCGAAGGCCTGCAGCTACTGCGCTCTCCCGAGCTTACCAGTAGTTAATTTCTCGCAGCCCTCCAAGTTAGATGGAGCAGCAGGGTAGAGAGAGCTAGCATGCAGTCTTAGAGCCAGAAGAGTCCCGTTCCCATGGAAAAAGTCAGGATGTAAAAGTTTTGCCTTTCAGGGCCACTCCCACCAGCTGGAGGCATATTTTAAAATTTGTCAGCTTGACAAAGCACAGGTGGGATATCTCATAGCTGTTAACTTTATTTCTTTGATCATCAGAACTTTTTCCTCCTCGCTTCTTACTACCACCATTCTATTCTTATTAAGCATGTTTCCCCCTTCATGGGGCATGTGATGGGCTTGATCTTCTACAAATGCATTCGGAAGCCCAGCAAGAGCTAGAGACTCATAAGATGCCTGACAAAGAGGCAAAATTGAAGGGCTACCAACAAACTGGCCATCAAGATAAATAATATTTTAATATGATATTTTGAAAAAATAAAAATGAATATAGAGTTCCAAGAGGAACACAATATCTACATTTTTAAATAGTTTTAGATATTACATTAAAATAGTATTTGTATTGCTGAGTTTCTGGGCACCCCTGAAATTTCGTGCCCGAGAAGAGGGCTTCCTTTGCCTTGCCCCAGCCCCAGCTTTGTGAGGAACTGGAGAACAGCATAGATTTCATGAAAGAGGAATTCTTGAGTGTTTCATACCTTTTCTCTACTCTTTTCTGAGTGAGTCCTATCTTACCAGCAAACAGACAAGTACCAGGATTGAAGACAGTGGTCAAAATCCCTCCTCTTCTGTTTCTAACAGGAAATATATTTAGAATTAAAGACACACTAAACTTGAACTTTTGGCATCTTCTTATGTTCCCCCCCCCCTCCCCAGGCAAGAACCCCAGTGTTATTAAATAGGCCTGTTGCTGTCTCAGGGACTAGGCATTCTTAAAACCAATAACCTACAAGTTTCTAATACCATTTCCCTGGACCTGGGTAGGGATACAGAAAGGCTGCATCTGCCTCTTAACAGACTGCTTGTTGCACCATGTGAATAAATCATACTGCAATCCTCAGATGTGACCAATCCCAGGGTGACCTTTCCTTTCAATTACAAGTCTTTCTGCCTGGGGGTGGAGGAAGGTGGGGTAACTCAAAGACTTGGCCAAACAAACTTTCTGTTTTGTGTTGGAAGAATATTTAAATAAAAAGGGAGAATATTGGCTGTCTATATAAAAACATTGCTAATTTCCTGACAATTATTACATCCTTATTTCTAAATCAATCTCTCACCATTCTCCTCTCAAACTTGGCTAAATGAAAATATATATCCTCTAGGGGCACCATGGAGATGCCAGAAGTGAGTCTGTTTAGGGAAAAACCTTTAAATTTACCTGTGGGTGGGCGGTTGGATCTAAAATAAGCCCACTGCTCCAGATTTCATATGAAGAGAAAAACAAGCCTTTCCGGGGCAGAGGTTTTAGAATGTCAAATTCCAATCAATAATTACTGCCTACTTCATCCTTCTCTTGGCCCCTGTATAGTCCTGAAAGCCCTGGGTAGAGCCATGAGTAAAAAACATCCTTCACAGGCTACAGTCCACGGGGTCGCCAAGAGTCAGATACATCTTAGCAACTGAACCTACACAAGACACACTTCAGAGTCCAACTGTGGCCTGGTGGTTTTGTTATCTTTGGGAGAGGGAAGAGGAAGAGAAGAAAAATGATAGAAGAGTTTGACAAGGACGGTGACTGTCTCCTTTTAAAATTAAGGATCTTAGGGACTTTCCTGGTGGTGCAATGGTTAGGAATTCACCTGCCACTGCAGGGGACATGTGTTTAATCCCTGGTCCGAGAAGATCCCACATGCCTCAGAGCAACTAAGCCCATGCACCCCAACTACTGAGCCTGCTTGCCACAAATACTGAAGCTGGGCACCTAGTGTCTGTGCGCTGCAACAGGAGAAGCCCCCACCCACTGCATCTAGAGAAAGCTTGCACACGGCAACAAAGTCCCAGCACAGCCAGAAATAGAAAATAAAATTTTAAAAATAAATTGATAAATTAAGGCTCATGAAAAAAGACTGGTGGAGCAAGTGCCCCAGGGCAATATGATAAGTTGCAAATGGAGGGCTGTACCAGCCTCTGGGAGTGCAGGAAAGAAGAGTCAACGCTTCGCCTGAGGTTGCCTGGGAAGGCAACACCCAGCAGGCCTAGGCTTTGCAACAGAGTTTCTTCAGAAGCAAAGAGGAGAGAAAAGGGCATTGGAGGCAACAGGAACAGAGTGTGGAGAGCTCAGGTAGGTGAGAGCACGGCTGTTTGGGATGAGTAAGGAACCGGGTATATCTGGCCCTTGAGGTGAGAGGAGGTGAGCTAGGTTGGACTGGATAACTAAGGCCTTGTAGAGCCTACAAAGGAAGCTGCAACTTCCTCCTTGAGAGACACTGATCCTTCTAAGGCGGAGAAGCAGCATGATGGGAGTTAATACTTTTTAAAAAGCCATTTTTCAGGGATAGGTACTTTCTCTTCTGTAATTTTCCTCCAGAAGACTCACCCCAAATACAGGATGTCAGGGAAACAGAAGATCCAAGTCTGAGGACACGTTACCCTCCATCTGATCAAAAAAGAAATGGTCTGTGGATATTGTTGAGCTGAGTGGAAGGAATCAAGGAGGGGTGTCCGAACCTTAGACTAGCACATTCAGATTCACAGCCTTGTTGCTCAGCTGGTCGTTGCCATTCGCGGGATGTTAATGGCTTCTGCAAAGGTCTGCCTGGTTAGGGTCTCTCATAGATTCCACATGTGCTCTGTGGAGCAGATTCAACCACCCGAGCCCTGTGATGGGAATATGCACTAGCACGACAAAGCGAAACCATGCAGAGTTTGGTTGGCCCTGCCCTGGCCTAACTCCCACCTGAGTTCCAGCCCAGCTTCTAATCCCACCCTCGACCCACCGTCTTGTTGTTGGCCCATGTCTGGCCTGCCATGTCTGCTTATTTTGGCCCTGTCTCTGCTCTGAACTCTGATGCGGTGACCCAGAGACAAGCTTCCCTCACACTCTACAAAGAGATGGAAGGATCAGCGGGAACTCTATAGAACTTAAAAGTGCATAATGGGTAGGAGATGACTTGGTGTCCCTCCCTCCTCAGTTCCCTTGACCCTGAGCCCTACTCGTCTCAGGAGCCACATGGAAAATAATATCACATACTACGTTGTCTTTGGCTCTGATGTTGGGCTGCATCTTGGGACTCTGAAATCCATAAATTCATCCATCCATCTTTACTGAGAACTGCTATGTTCAGAATACCGGGGCAGGTGCTCTCATTTCAGTTCAGTGCAGTCGCTCAGTCGTGTCTGATTCTTTGCGACCCCATGGACTGCAGCACACCAGGCTTCCCTGTCCATCACCAACTCCCAGAGCTTACTCAAACTCATGTCCATCGAGTCGGTGATGCCATCCAACCATTTTATCCTCTGTCATCCCCTTCTCTTCCCGCCTTCAATCTTTCCCAGCATCAGGGTCTTTTCCAATGTGTCAGCTCTTCACATCAGGTGGCCAG